GAAAAACTTTGGATTCAGGTGTGTCTAGGACTGGTACAAGGTGTCTAGCCAGTGATTTCTCCATGTTTAGCCCTGTAACTTTCTTGAAAGCTTTCACAGAAATCAGGTACTGTTTAAGTACTATCTTTTTATATCTTTCAGATATAGCAATTAGACTTTATTTCAGTAATTCTAAAAATTCTCTTTGCATATATTTATGTATGAAATAGAAAAAATAACTTAAACTGAAAAAAAATCTGACCCTATACCAGAGACAGGAGATCTGGAGGAAAGTGGTATCCATGGGGTTTGTGCATTTTTGGTGCCTTTGTCCAATACATTGTGAGTTGTCATCAGAAATTCTCACCCTGGATGATACTTGTTGATTTAGTGAAAAATTTATTTCCCAGAGAAAAGGAAACATTTTCTGTACAGGACATGACAGCTGTCTTGGTGGGTGGTCATGATTTTAAAAGTTAATTTTAAAAGTTAATTCCTGTTAATAGGGGCTAACGATAGCACAGAAGTACTTAGAAATCTCCTTGCAGGAAGGGAAGAGGACACATGCTCCCATTTCAGTCAATGATAGTTCCTGAGGTGCTTTTTTTTTCGCTTGTTTTTTTCTTGGGCTTGTCTTTCACTTTCACTTTTTTTTTGTAGATCTCACTGATTTTAGTGTGCTGGCTAACAAGGTTTATTTAGTTAAACTGCCAGGATTCAATTAAGGGAAGTTTTTCTGTACCGTTGCTGTAATTTTATGACCCATCTAGTAGGTAAATCCTCCCCTTCAGTAGTCTATTAATAAGCTGATTTCAAACCATACATGAAAAGTCATAGAATCATAGATTTGTTCTGGTTGGAAGATTCCTTCAAGGTCATCAAGTCCAACCATTAACCTGATGCTGCTATGTCATGCCACGTCACCATGAAACCATGTCCCTAAGTGCCATATCTACACGTGTTTTATTGCCTGTAGTGCTGCCTTTCTGTTTGGTAGCTTCTGGGCAACCTAATTGAGTTGCAAAGGAGCCTGTTCCCAAACTATTAATTCAACTCTTCAGAACCTTGCTTGAAGACACCTCACTTCTTTCATGTGTGCCTGTTCCAAAAGATGTGACTTCCAAAAGATGTGCTTCAAGAAGGATCTTAACCTTTGTTCTCAAAGGTTTCAAGGCTTCTGTGAGCAACCTCATGCTTTTAAAGCACTCCTGTTGCTAGTGCCAAAAATTTGACGTTCTTCTCTGCTCACCTCTCAGGTGTTAGCTCCTGAGCAACTTACCAAACTCAAAGATCTGTTGTAACTACTGAAGAAAGCTGTTGAAATTTTGTGTGTTTACTTAGCCCTGTACAGATTTATATTCATCTGCCCAGGGTATTTGCCTTCAATAGAACTAACTGAAGTAGAACATCTCTGAACAACAGAATTCTTGTCTCGATGTTCAACTGCATGTACTTGCCTTATCATGGTATGTTCAAGCTTGGATTTTTGCTTCTAGGAAATCTGATTGGTGTCCAAAGATACTGTGTGAGAAACTGTCAGGGATCTATACCAGTCTAGGTATGATGGCTGTGCAACATCAAGGCAAGATGTAGCTGTCCCACTGGCTTGTGTGAAGGAAGAGTGAGGTGGTGTTCTCAAGTGGCACTTCAGAGCTTTCTCTCTCTGATACTTTGTAAGGAAGCTGAAAACTTCTACATTGTGTATTCTGTATGAAGGACAGTGGGAGCATGTTTTCTAGCCTAGTGTCAGCTCATTCATGAAAATTCTTTGAAGATACTTAATGGGAATAAATAAGGAAGATCTGTCTGCTCCATAGCAAACATGGATGCGAGTAATAAATGGACCATCTAAAATGTGTTAGATGGAACAACTGTCTGGAAAGCAGTGTTGTTTGATATTGGCAGTACAGGGCAAGGCTGTACTATATGTAACAGTAGTGCTAAGCTGTGTCTTTGAATAGATGCCCAGGACTTTGAGGAAGACCATCCTGCTTGTTGGAGAGGTGGCTTCTTGTTTTGCAGGAAAGCTCAATTTTAAAAAGCTCACAGATAAAGGGACTTCAGCAACATCTCAACTATCTCACTGCATTCCAAGATTTTAGATAGTTACATATTGTTGAGGTTTTGCCAGCTTTTGGAGGGGTGTGTTCTCAGAACAATGTGAGCTGAGATCTTGCTGAGGAAAGATAGTCATGAGCCAGAGAGAGAAGGATTTTCTCCAAAGTCTTCAGAAAGGGCAAGAACCCCGTGCCAGACAGTTTTGGTTTGGAAAGAGCTAGTGGTACTTTTCTCTGTCTGCGAAGACTCAGCTGAGGAGACTTTCTTGTAGACCAAAGCTAAGTCTTACATCCTGAAGTGACAGCACACGGATTTTGTACCCCACATGAGTGGATTAGTTTCACATTTCAGCTATCACCTGGGTTCATAGACTGCCCTGGGACAAGAGCAAAGAGGTGTTTCAAATATTACACTATAGCAGCAAAACAGGCAGCTAGCAATTCAGTACTCGCTATTACCCCAACATCCCTTCTTGGGAGAGGGATCTGGGTGATACCAGAGAAAATTCAATGCTTCCTAGCCAGGGTAGATCAGAAGGCAGCACTGAGTTCCTCACCTCTCTGGTCCTTCCTGAAAGCATTGCCCAGACCCATAGCAAACACATCATGAATCATTCATCTTTAATAGATTATGCAAATTGAGGACATCAGATCAATGACGATCAATAACTGCAACCATTTAATTGCCAGCAAAAACATTTTAAGAATGAGCATTATCTGAAGTCCTTTCTCGGGTAATGGCACCATTAATCCAAACATTGGATCCTGGCCTAAGTGTAGAGGAAAAATTCTCCACCCCTCTTCTCCTGCTGCCTTTCAGGGTGCTGAGGGTTTTTTTTCCCTTTTCATTTCCCATTTCTGAGTTTCCCTGTCATTACCACCAGTGAACAGCTCCCAACACTAATAGTTCTGCTTTTGTTACTCTGTGCTGATTGAAATGTCGCATACAGATTGAGATGTTAGTGCTAAGTTGCCACCTGGGAATGTCAAGCTGGGTCTGAAATGAACTTTTTTCACTCTTGGATCCAGATGGATCAGATGGGGATGTTCTCAAGCTGAGCTGGGAGTGTTGCAGGGAACAGAGTGAGGATGGCACAAGGTGGGGGAGAGATCAAGATTTTCTGCCTCTTCTGTAAGGCCAACTCCATCTCCTGCTGTCCTCTTGTGAGAGGCATGGCCAAAGCTTCTGCAGCGTCCCCAGCCTTTGGGAATTCTGCTCTTACATTAAGAGGCTGGAATTCACCATCTTCACTGAGGCAGAAGGACTAATAAGAATTGTTTTAATGGCACCTTTGAATCTTAAACTCTGATTTTAGGTGCCTCACCTTTACATCCAGCTGTGGGGATTTGCCTTCCAATTTTGTGTCCCAAAGACAGGAGAGTATTTCCTGTAAGAGGATGTAGATCTGCTAAATGGTAGATGGACACCAGCTGAGTTTTGTCTTGCGTTGCAAATACAAAGGAAGATGGAACAATTTTGCCACAGCTGAGCCATTTTATTTCCTGGTTGGCTAAGCAACTGCATGGCAACGAGGACCCTGGATCAAGTCTGATAGCAGTAAAGGCCATGAAAAAGTCTGGAGATGTCACACTTTATAGACACTCCCTAAATATGCAGTTTGCCTCCCCATGATTCTCCATGACATTTTGCCCTCCCACTAGCTCTCCTCTGTATTCTGGGTAACTGTTACTAATCCTGCCTTGTCCCAAAGTTCCTGATAGCCAAAAGTTGCATGCAACAATATGCCTTTGCTCACTGTTTTCTGAAGAAGCAACAACTGCCTGCCTTGGCCATGAGCTGCTTTGACCTCAGGAGCTATTAGCTGGGGCTTCTGCAAGAAAAAGTTGGGATACAAACTCCAGTACGCTTGATTCTGTGCCACCAGAGGACAGCTTTTTGGCCAGGAGGCAACAGATCCTTCCTTTGCTAACAGGATTTATAATATATCTTTATCAGTTATTTCTGAACTTACACCATGAGGCTTCTAGAGGGGCCACAGCAGCTGCAGGGAAAAGGGGATATACCAAAGAGGGGTGAGGCACTCAGGCTTTGCCACCTACTTTAGCTACTCAGGAGGAGACGTACAAGTCTATGGTAGCTGTGTGAGCAGGTACCAGCAGCAACTAAAGAGAAGCCCTGAGAAGAAGGGCTGTGGCACCAGATTATCTCCTTGTGGCTCTAGACACGCACAAGACGGGCAGTCTGACACTAGTATCAGGATGCCCCATGGCCCCAGGACAACCCTGTGCTGCTTAGGTCCTGCATGTGCCGCCAGCAAAGAGGCAGCTTCGGTGGAGCAGCTGCTGCAGAAATTGCCTCCTGCTCCTGGGCATCCCAGCTCCTCTGCTCTCAGGCACTTGCTCTCATTTCCTGCTCTCCCAGACACACCTAAGTTTAATGTGCCTGCATGTGAGGGAAGGGGAAAGGCTACCAGCAAATCTCTTTTGCCAGCTGCTGTTAGAGACTCATGGGCTTAAGGAAGAGGGAGTTTAGCAGTCACAGTTCAGCAGACCTCAGTATTTAGTTTGCAAATGCCCCTTCCAAATGCCAGGGCTGAATAAAACTTAAATTATTATTTCTCCCCAAGAAAACCAAGAGCGGATCACGGGTAAGCCATGACCCTCTTGTTCTCAGACACAAAGGAAAAAATCACAGTATGTGTTTGGACGTTATCTGTACTCCACCAACATCCACCCCTAAGCCCCATCTGGGCACACAAACTCCCAATTTGCACCTGTATTTGCCTGTCTTTGAGTCACACCTGGGCACCTCTAGGTGTACCCAAAACTGCCAGTACTCTGCATTTCAAGCTTTTCTTGAGCTCTTAAGTCCTCCACAGTCTTTCTATCTCTTTCCATGTTTGCCACAGAGGGATATCTTGCATTAGCAGAAAAAGCAGAAGCTAATGGTGATGAGGGAAATAAATAAAAAGCTTGGTTCTGCTGTTTGGTCAGGCAGCTTACCGGTCACCACAGGGTACGTCTGGGGTCCTGACACATTTGTCCCCAGGTCTGGGTTAGCAGAGGTGGATAGACTTGATTTGACTTCATCGAGACCAGGGGTCAGAGCTGGGAGGGAGTACTCATTACCCTGGGGAAGAGAGGAGAAAGACAGCTCGCTATTGATGCGCTGGGAGAAAGGGAAGGGTGTACAGATGGGGGGGAGGAAGAGGAGAGATGTAAACCCCTGCACAGATGGAAGAGGAGGAGGAGGAGGAAATGGAGAAGATGAAGTGACAAGAGGTTGCAGGGGGGTTCCTAGGATGAGCTATCCCACCCGCCTGTGTGCCGCTGTGAAGGAGAAGAGGGGTGAGGGGTCTGGCCCATTTATCTGTGGTGTGACTGAGCCTTCACTCAGTGCTGTGAGGATGACTCCCTGTGCCAGCCCAGGGGAGAAGAAAGGGGAAATACAACGTCCTCTCCTCTTGGCTGAGCGAAGGCAGGAGGTATTTGCCCTAGTGACAAGGAGAGCTGGGGCAGAAGGCTGCAATGACACGACTAGGACAGGCAGGCTGTAGGAAGCAGCCAGCGTTGGCCCACTGTAGCTGCCCTCTCTGCTTAGTCGCCTGCCTCCCCTCTGTTGTTACCTCTGCCCTAGCTCTTTAAAAACAAACAAAGAAGCCTCATCCCCTGCCTCTGTCACTCTGTGCATTGGGGTATGAAATTGGGGAGGGGGGAGCCACATGGCTAACAGAAGGGTGGGAGGGGGAGAGCCATTGAATTTGAAAAGGTGTCCTGTCCGAAAGGCTCTGGTAATTGCCTTTTTATTGTGGCAGCCTCCGGACCAGACGCGGGAGCTGGAGAAACCAGGGAGGCTACAAAACAGCAGGAAAAGTTACTCTGATTAATATTACGTTAAATTAAAACTGATTTTCTGCTCTTTCTGCTCCGTTTTTTTCCATGCACTTCCCCAACCCCCTCCCCACGTCTCCCCCTCCTCCAGTGGGCTCCCTGCACGCTGCCCCCCTCCCCGCCCCTGTCCCTGCTTGGCTAGGACTGCCTAGTCATTTCCAATTCCTTCTTGTATTGATCTTCCTGTAGAAATCAGTTTTGTAATTAGCTGCAAATTAGGCCTTCTACTGGGGGTGAGCCTGCCCCCTGATTTATCACCAGAGTAATTCGCTGTGATCGGAGAGAAATTAAAATGAACTCAATTAGGCTTCGGATTTGCTTTATGGGCCCTGCTCAGAGTTTCAGGGGGAAAAATGACTGTGCTGGTGCTTAATAGTCTAATGAAAGTAAATAAAGGTTATTCATTGTAATAAACCCAGGGACTCTGGGATGAAGGGAGTCCACAGCCAGCCTCTCCTTCTCTTCCTTTGTTGGTTTATGGCTTGGGGCGGTTTAAAAAGACTTTTGATTTTCATTTTATTAAGACAAACAGCTTTTGGGATAAAAGGCCGGGGGAGTAAGGGAAAGGGGGGCAGAGCTACAGAAGTGCAGAAAACTAGGTTGGAGATGGGAGTCAAGTCTCAGCCTTGGGCCATGAAGGAAAATCCTCCGTTAAAGCCCAGCCCTGTGCTTTGCTGGTCACCGGCGTGATCAGAGAGTGCAGAGGTTCCATGCAGTGCTGTGTGCTGGTGAACACGCATGGCAAGAGCATGCCCATGTAGCTGCAGGTGCATGTGCAGAGGGACAGGCAGGCATGGGAATCTGAGGAGAGCACAGTGTGCCTCTATACAGCAAGTTCACAGCAGGAGGTAGAGCTGTATACACCTGCATCAGCACAGGGAGATATTTATCAATAGAAAGTGCTGTAAAATATAAGTCTGATTAAGTCCAATAACAGGTCAGCATGAGAACAAGGGGTGAAGAAGAGGAGAGTGGTTTCGGTGAGGTAATCTCCCTGCCATCATCCTATGGGTGCCTGTGGGTCCCCATTACCGGGCTGGGCCCTCACCTGCTCAGATTTGATGTGCTCTGATGTTTGAAAGACGTCAGGGTAAGAAGGACGCTCAAAAACTCGATCTAAAGCTTCCAGCTGCTGCTGGGTGAAAGTGTCGCCACGAAGGTGCTTCCGCAAACTGTCCACGCTGCTCTGGGAATCTCCGTTGGGAACTGAGCCCTCGGATACATCTGCAGGGCACAGACAGAGAAAACAGGGAGTTAACACCACTCTGGCTGGGATCAGCAGCAAAGGATGTGGGACAAGGGCAGAGTGGGAAAGAGCGGTGGCCCTCTGCCTCCACCCAGAGAGCTGTGCCCCTCCTGTGGGACGAGAACCCAAGGGAAGCCCCCTCCTGTCTGCTGGAGCAGCCAGGCTGCTCCTGTGGGCTCTGTGGGACTCTCCTGCCCTGGATGGGTAGGGCTGTGGAGAATGGTGCTCGGCTCAGAGATGAGTTTCGGTTCCACTGATTTTCAGTGTTAAAAATTGCCAAATCTCCGTTGCTGAGCATAAAATGGGAGCAAAGCACAGCGATTAGCATCGCTGGAAGGCTACTGGAGAGGCAGCTCACAGGGAAAGCAGAGTACTGAGGACAGACCTGTACTGGAGAGGGCTGAGGAAGCCTGGCAATGGAGAAAGGGCTCTCTTATATAGCTTGGAAGGCACTCAGTCTCTGCTGTAGCTCCCCGGTCCCAAAAGAAGTTATATCTCTGTTACAATTTCCTTCTCATCTGATCTTGCTTTTCCTGTTGTACTCCAGATGAGTCTTTCATCTCCCTCAGATAACAGGAATGTTCCTGTTTCTGACTCCATGTTTCATAAGACAAGTCTCTCCTTGTGGAGTATCTGTCCCATCCAACGTACATTGGTTTTTGTTATGATCTCTGTCCCATTCTCTTACATGTAGCTTGTGATTTATCACAACCCATATCTCTGTTATAAAACTCCCTCAAAAATGAGATGAATCTCTGTATCTGTTCATCACCCTTCCTATCGACAATGAATTATTGTATCAGAAAACCTAGTCCTACTTAGTGGGAATTGGCCTACCAGGTATTCCTTTGTTCTTACTAGCAAAAGAACCTTTTTCTGGTAGAAACATGTCCAGAAGTGCATCTCTGTCCCTGCAGCAGCCCTCTAACACAGTCCAATCTCACTGCAGTGCCTCCTGCCCCATTCCAGGTGTCTCTACCTCTGTTGTGCCACCCTATGTCTCTTCCAGCCCTCTCATCCTCTCCAAGGTGAGTCCATTATAAATGTTCTGCCCCATCCAAAGTGAATCTTTTCCTGTGATAAACCATCTAATCACCCACCTGTTTTTGTTTTGTTTTGTTTTTTTCCCTGTTATCCCCTAACTCAAATGAGGTGCATTTATCTCGGTTATAACCCCTTTTTATCTGAAGTGAGCGAGTCTCCTGCTATTAGCATCTGTCACATCCAAGGTGAGTCTGTCTGTTATAACCTCCTGTCCCAGATGAAGTGAATCTTCCTTTGTCATAATCCATCTCATCTGAGGCAAGTCTGCTCATTATAATCTTCTCCAACTGTGCTGAGTATCTTTCTGCTGTCACTCCTCAGCCCAACTTTGGTGAGACTGCTTATAATCCTCTGTCTTTTCCACGCTGATATATCTCCATACTCTCCGTACTGAATCTCTGCCTACTGTGCTTCACCAGACACAAGTCTGCCCATCTTACCACCCTGTCTAACCTAAGATCAGGTTCTCCCTTCTGCATTGTGCTTACCTTCCTGCTTTTTCACTGTTATTCCTCATACTTCAGCCTTTCTTGGTAGTTTCTAGTTTGTGAATCTCAGAAACTTGTTTTCTATCAAGAAAGTGGTTGAGGGGTCTGTACAGACCTTTTCCCTCCTCAATGTCACTGTGAGGAGCTCATGGGCAGACAATGCTCCCAGGAGCCTGGAGTGGCATTCACTCCAGCTTGTGGATAGTGCCAAGACGGGTATTTTCCTGGCACAGGTAATGCCCAACCAGTGGCCCAGAGTTATAACTGAGCCTGCTGCTTTCTGGCTATGAGATATATCCGTTTATAGGTGATTATACGATATGATATAATCAATAGTACATTATATACAGTAACGTAGTACAGTACCACTCACAAGACCATAGAAAATATTACATATTGATTTGTCCCAGCCAGCAGCCTTCCCTCAAGCAGCCCTTTCTCTTTCTTTTCCACCCCTAGGCAGAGCAGGGCTTTTTTCTGGCAATGATCCCTGGCGTTTTCTCCTCTCCTCAGACTTATTTGCGCAACGAAAAATTCTCAGGTTCTTTAAAGCCGGAGCTCATGACAGGTTTGACTAAGAGAAAACAAAGCAGAGACCAGGCTTGGTGGACCACACGTTCTGTGTGTCAGTGCAGTTTGCATGTTTTAGATGGACTGGGCTGTTTACTGAAGGGAGGGTGCTTTTGGAAGGACTGTGGTAGCTCAAGGCTTGTGCTCCTCATTCCAGTAGGCACTTCTCTCTGGTCCTCCCTGCAGAAAACTGGCACAGAACTCCTGGGCCCAACCTTGGAAAAGAAAAAGCCTTTCTGTATCAGTGCTTGTCTCAACCTGTCTCTGTGAAGCTGTTTGCCTTGGTTTTTGCTGGGACAGAGTTAATTTTCTTCCTAGTCACTGGTCCTTAGTTGCTGGTTGGGGTTAAACCATGACAATGGTAAAACTTCCATCGACTGTGACTAAACTAGATTTTTACACTTAGTGAGTTGCCCTGGGTGGTTCCACAGATTAGTGCACACATGCAGACGTGTTTGCAGTTCCTGTCTGCCTGCAGAGCCCCGTGCTCGCCTCTCCCGTGCGTGCACAGGCCATGCCTTTGTGTGAAGAAGCTGAAACCACAGCTTTCCCAAGTCGCTGTAGGAGTCTCTTTTCCTTCATTTATTCAGGGGCCCTTCAGATCTTGACAAATCTGTCACTCTAAATTTGCGAGAGATTATGGTGCTCTCTGCCTAGCACCGAGAGAGGTGATATATGATATCTGCTGCCCCTATTGATTGCCTGATCTGGTGGCAGAGGGCTGGCGAAATGAACTTGAAATGAACATCATGCCTCAACTCATTGTGCGTATAATACACTGCTTAATCCCACATTTTTCAGCCGCTATGGAATTCAATTGATCAATCATGTCCCTCTGATAGTACTGTTTTAGGGGTTATTGCTGCTCTGCTCACTGACCTTTTTATTTATTTATTTATTTGTTTGTGTCAGCGTGTGTGTGCGTGCACCTCGGTGCATATGTGTCTTTGGGAGACTCAGGACCAGCTGATAAGAGACGACCTGTGTAGTCAGTGGGAAATGAAAGGAAAGGATGAAGGGAGGATAAATGGGAGGAAGGGGATTAGATAAGAAATCAGAATGATAAAAGCTAGCAAATAGATAGGGAGAGGTGGAAAAGCAAGGAGAAAGGCAATGCTTTAGTTTAGGTAGGAGTTCTGGATATGAGGCAGAGGGTCACACTGCCATGGCCTAGGCTTTAAAATCTATAAAAGAAAATAAACATTTGACAGAGGCCTGTAGGCTACCTTGAGATGGACTTTGTCCAAACAGCTTGCAGTAGTATTGGACTTAATAATGGTAGGGCACATAAATCCCAGATTTCACAGAGCAATAATATGAACTGTGCATATGGATTTTCCTTATGAAGCGGAGAAAGTTTCACAGAAATGATCCTGAAAGACAGATTTATATGTCTTGCGTTGCTAACACTGAGACATTCACAGTCACGGATCATTATATTTTCTTCAAAACCAACGGATTGTAAATCCCTTGTGTTTGTTTTCTGGTGTCAAAACCTACAGAGGATGCTTTCTTTTTTTTTTTTTTTTTCCCTGAAACTGCAAGGAACGGACACTTATATCTGGTTTTAGATCAAAGTTGTAATTCTCACCTAAGCATATGACTCTGTGAGCTGGACTATCAGGAGAAGTCTCAAATATCGTAATACACAAAGTATGGGAGCTGACAACTGTGTAGGTTTGAGCAAAGGTGGCAGTAACGAGCAGAAAGGACTTTGGGGAAGTGACAGGGTTCATCAAAGGGCTGTGGGTGAAAGTGAAGGGAGGGCTCACAGAGGGTTAGGAAAGACTAGCAGATCCCATGAGGAATGGCACTGTGGCAGGCAGCAGTCACTTCAACTGATGAAGAAAAGTGCTAGGAGTAAAAGCTTCAGGGATGGCAATTTGCTAAGAAAGCAGCTGTTGGAAGGGGTGCTATGGTGAAGCAAGGCTTCAGCTGCAGGATGAGCCTGGGGATGCCACCTAGGTAACTGCACTACCTGTACCAATACAAAGCATCATTACCTTTCCCAGTTCCCTTTTTACTGGTGAGGGAAAGTGTGGTACTGTGACACAGGGACACCCCTCTCTTAAATCAGAAGGATCTTAACAAACAGCTTGAGAGGTGAACCATGGCCTCGGTCACTATGTCCCTCACAAGAGCACAGAGTTGCTGTCAGCATGATCAGGACTGGCCTTGCACATGTGACAGGAAACATCTCTCCTCCCGAGGGGCTGCCAAGGGAGCGCACACAGACCATGTTCAGTGTAAACCTTCGACACAAGACACAGAAATGCTCCATGGGTGTCACAGACGTATCCTGACAGGTAACAATGAAATGCTCTGCCAGTGGACACAGGAACAACCTTAACTACATCTGACACAGGGAATATGCCCATTTAATAGCTCCAAAACAAAGAGACGTGCCCAGGTCTGAGAGCCACAAAGACATCATCATGTACAAGTAGCACAAAGCAGTGTAATAAGTGTAATACTGTTACTTCCCTGGCTATAAGTGACAGAGAAGACCCTTGCTCAGGGTGGGATGGGGCCATCTCAATGATTTAGAAGTATTACTGAGATAGGAAGACCTTTGTGGCACAGAAAACACGTAGGAAGGCCATGAGAAGCTGCGCAGCTGGCACACAACCATGGACATCCTGTTGTCTTTTGGGGTAGGGGCTATTGCCCTCCCTGTGACCTGTCTGCCTGCCGCCTTGCGGGGCCTCGGTCTCAGATGAGCTTCTCACCACTACCAATAAAAATCGCACTCATAATGAAAGCGAATGTGACTGGCATGAGCACTGCCAGCCAGGTGACACAGCGGAACCCACCCGATTGTCAAAGCCCCCAAGGGAAACACATCTGTGTGTCGTGGCGGCGCCGAGTCTGCCAGGGAAGTGCTACCCCTCTGCACCAGCGAGGGACCCCGTCCTCTCCAG